ACGGGTCCATTATCACCCCCAGATTAGTCACCTTTTGTTTCTCTAGCCAGTCTTGCCAAAATGTTCAAAATCTTGCCAGTGAACATCCAGATGTTTTCAGAAATGTCTGTTGTAATGCTTGAAATGGGGAAATCATGGCCGTATGGTTTCCTCCTTGTAAAACTTGCTAATTAATTATGTTGTTGTTGAAATCAATTTGCCAAATTAATGAAAATGTTTGATGTTAAACTTTGATTCTGTTAATAAATGACCGCATTCATTTGATAGGTCAAAGAAAATTAACGCCTCATGTTACATTTAATTAATTTCAATGCACGATATTATTCAGTCCAGAAAAATGAATGAATCCGTTTAATTTATGGATAATATATCACAGATATATGTTCATCTACATTCTGGTGGCCTCGTACGGTTCATGAATGGACTGTTATTCGTGTAACAATGGAATTTATCATGTTGGCATGAAATGAAAAGTGCAGATTGTTGCTGTGTGAAATGCAGCGTTGTGGCAGCTGCGATGCTCAGAGAAAATACAGCAATGTTTTGCAGCTGTGGTGATCTGAAAGCTGAAAATAAGGTCAATGGGTATCGTTTGAAAGCTGAATTTGTACATCTGTTGTGTAACTGAAGCTGGGTTTGTGTTAAAACGCTTTATTCTGTTTAAACTGTGTTCCAGATGTTGGTTCTGGTCCGGCTCGGTTCTGATTCGGTTCGAACGAGTCGTGTTTGAAGAAAGAGACATTTTTAAGAACGGAGCGCCGTCTCCGTGAGCTTTGAGAGTTTATTCGTTACATTTTTAACAGAAAATAGTGCATTTTGAACGTTAATGGACAGAAAGTTGACCGGACTTGTTCAAGCTACATGCTAACACGCTAGCTGAAATAGCGAGTGGCCATTGGCTGAAAACCGCAGTTTAAATGCTCTGATTCGCTGGAGGGACGAGAGACGTGTCTGTCGTCACTTCCTCTGATGTCAGGTTGTAGAACCCACCCCCGTTGCTTTTCTGTCATTGGTTGATTCAGTCACGTGACCCGGAAATGAAGCTCGTCTTCATAGGAAATTTCAATCTGCTGTTTAAAGTTGAAAAACGCTTTAAAGTTGGATCCAATCCGTTGCTCCGTTTCTTTGAAGCCTAATCGCTGAAACTTTGCCACATTTAAGTTTTAAATCCGTCATTAAATGGTGTTTTTGGACCACGCTAGCCGATGCTAATTTTAAACTAACGGCTAACGACCGGATGTCACCGAAGCCACAGGAAATCACCGCGACTCCTACTGGTCATCACTAACAGTGTCTGGGTTAAAATAAAATAAGGTTATCCTGCCACCTCCTGTTGGAAACTTGAAATCACAGTTTCACTTCGTTTTTAGGATATTTTGGGTGAAATTACACGTGTTTATTCCTGTCAGACGCATTTTTGAGTTAATAAACGTTCTTCAAGCTGAATTATTACTGTTATCTTGCATTTAAAAAGTGATAAAGGTGTTTATGCCAGAAAGGCATTTACCAAGACATTTTTCATTCACTGATAAATTCCTCAAACAGAGGTGCAAAATGAAAAATTTGAAACTTTTTAAAGATACAGTCCAGATATTCACAGAGTTGATAAAGTGTACTCATTTGCTGAAAAGATAATACACGTTTAATTGCTAGAACACTAAATAAGCGTAATTATATCAGAAAAAGGAAACTTTTCTGATTTATTTTTACCATCTAAAACATTACATCTTCCCATTTAATTTTTAAATAGAAGATAATGGCAGGAGAGGACGAAAACGTTGACCTTTTAAACTCCAAAGATGTCATCCAGGGAGCTTTATATATTTTAACAAATCCAATTATTGGTGACCAATTAGAACAACTTGATGAAATTCAAAGAGCTGAAGAACTGAAAAGTTTAGCAAAAGGAGCTACGGTTACAGAGAATAAAAAGCTGAGCCATGAACGGTTAGAAAAAATTTCTCTGCTTCTCAAAGAGGAATTGGATCAACAGGTTGAACGAAATGTCGTGCTGTCTAGAGCATATGCAACTGACAAGGAGAGGTTTCTCAAATTGATGGAACAGTCTAAACTTGATGAAGAGACACGTGCAGTTGAGGTGCAAGGTGAGAGGGAGCTCTTAGAAAATCAGCTGTCATTACAGGCTCACTCATTTGAGGAGAAGATTAGGGATAAAGAGCTTCAGTACCAAGCTGTGTGTTCAGACAACGGTGTGCTACAACAAGAGTTGCAGCTCGCATCAAAAGCTCTGGACGAATGCAGACTGGAAAAAGAGGCATTACTCCAACAATGTGTGCGTTTACAAAGTGAATGTCAAACATCACAGGAACGCTTAATAGCCTGTGAGGAGAAACTAGCCGCGGCAACAAATAAAAGTTCTGACATGGGGCGAGTTTGTCTGGAACTCAAAGAAGATCAAGGTCAGAGTCCAGGCCACCCGCCATCACCTCAGAAAGATTTTGGTGCACCTCTTGCTCTTAATCCCATTCTGCAACCTCCACATGTGTGTAGAGAAACACCTCCACCCTCATCTCGGGTGATAGGGACAGACCTGCACCAGTTTGCACTACCAACCATGCAAGAGAGACCGTTGATACTGATTTGCAAAAAATCTCAAAATATGTACAACGCTTTGTACCGGGACCAATGGGTTCAACTGGAACAAAAGCGTACCTCAGAGACCTTGAATTCAGACTGAGTGGTTATCCTAATGCTACGGTTGAGGATAAAATCAGTCTGATAAGGCTCACTTCGGACAGACAGGTGTTCACCTTCATCGAGCGTCTACCTGATACAACGAGAAGGGATTACAACCTTCTGTGCGAAGCTTTGATCAGAGTACGACCCCTGCACGGGACCTGCTGGTTTCCCAGCTGCTGAGAAGGTCA